AATAATTATGGTAAAACTTTAATATGTATTGAATTTTATTTTTTAGTGAATTTTTCTCGTATTGTACCAAATGGTTTATTGGTGTTTTTTCCATCGTATATTGTAATGGATAAATCTGTGGAATTCTGGCAGGTAATACACAATGTTTCTGTTCATTTTTTAAGGGACAAGGTCTTCTACAATCTGTTTCACAGAGAATTACGAGTCTTCTCTAATATCTCTGTAAAAGATGACTGCCTTTAACACGTGCCGTCATAGCACGCGGTGTCAATCATTGGCTGGAAGGCGCGTGCATTGTTTACATAAGACATTACTGCTTTGGGCAGAATGCTGCCTTTTAGTCATTTTAATACCCATTTACACTAAATATGAAATAGTTTTTACCTACAAATACATCAAACGTCTTTATTTATTTTTCTAATACATCAAAAAATGTTTTAGAATTTAATTTGTCGGTGGAAAAAAGTTAATATTTGAGACTCATTAAGTCGCATTGATGTCATCCTTATCAGTGATTGTAGCGGCCTAGCAAATATTCATTGTGGGTCTTCTATTGTAGAAATTTGGAAAGAATAATGCAAGATCCTATGTACACAACAGCAGTGCCTGCAACAGAAGAACTCCTTTCCCTTCCTCTTTTTTAACTCATAAGTGATTACTATCTGTTAAACTTAAAAAGACACATATATAATATATATAAATAAGTAGCCAAATTCTGTGAAAAATAAATGTTTTTTCAGGGTCTTGATAAAATAAATAGCCTCTTGAGTTCTGTGAAAAATTATTTAGATGAAAATTTCAAAACTTAAAAGTTGAAAACTAAAAACTTTTGAGAAGAGAGAAGAAGTACTTTTTATACGCCCACATTGAAATGTGGTCGTATATTGTCGTCGGTCTGGCGTCCACAATTGCTTCTGGACGCTCTAGAGGCTAAAGTTAATATCCGATTGACTTTAAATTTATATACAGTGTTTAAGGCCATGAAACGAAGAAGCCTATTGATTTTCAGCGATTTCCGATAATTACTGCCAGAATTATGGCCCTTGATCACTTCAAAAAATCTTGTGGACGCTCTAGAGGCTAAAGTTAATATCCGATTGACTTTAAATTTATACACAGTGTTTAAGGTCATGAGACGAAGAAGCCTATTGATTTTCAGCGATTTCTGATAATTACTGCCAGAGTTATGGCCCTTGATCACTTCAAAAAATCTTGTGGACACTCTAAAGGCCAAAGTTAATATCCGATTGACTTTAAATTTATACACAGTGTTTAAGGTCATGAGACGAAGAATCCTATTGGTTTTCAGCGATTTCCGATAATTACTGCCAGAGTTGACTTCAGATTGATACACAGAGTTTAAGAGCTTGAGACGAATAAGAATATTGATTTTCAATGAATTTTTATGACTTCAACAGCTAAATCCAAGATATTAAAAGTTTTGTATACTAAACGTTAGCATGGGGCAGAACTTTATAAAAACCAAACAAATTCTAATGGTTTTCTGATAATTACTTCATGAGTTGTTACACTTAATCAGATTTTAGTGTATTATAAATGTTTCATTACCGAAAGAAGTAAAAATATGCGACAACACTTGTTGACTGCCCGGATGATTTAGCTGCTGTGGGCGTATGTTTCGTTGCCTGGCAACCTATCTTTGTTTTTAAAAAAATTGTCAAAGTGGTGTGGTCTATGGGTATGACAGAATCTGGAACAGAACTCTTTATATGATTCTAATTTAAAACTTTATTTCAGCAAAATAATATCTGGGATAGAATTATACCGTATAAACCTATATTTATAGAACCAACTGGTAAAAAAGGATTCGTTGAGGTAAGGTGGAAGAATTTATATAGCTCTGTGGCAACCGAGTTCACTGATAATAATACAAAAACATGAAATAATATTGAAAATAAAATGCAATATGAACTGACCCTGATATAAACAAGATTAGAGTTATATCACTTTGATAATAACAAATCAGATGGAATGGGGTTTAACTTCCTACTTGTCTGTACACACAGACAACATATACCCAGGACCTCGATTTTGGTCCCATCCGAAGGACTAGTCACTGTTCCCTACTAGGCCCTCCACCCTATATCACTGGTTCGGCCTCCTGGTTAACGAGTCAGCACTTGACCTAAACCACTGTCTCTAAAATTAATAATACTAACATCAGTGGGATGATCCCAAAATATAGAGGTATATTTGTTATTTGGGTTATGTTTGAAAATGTTTATTTCAGACCATGGATGAATTTTATGAGAAAGTCAATGATCCAAGTAAAAATGGTGCTATATTTATGGCTGTTTGTAGGGGAAAGGTAAACTTATAGACCTATATAATTCACAGTTTTCATTTGGTAAGAACTTCAAGAGCCATGGTCCATTACACACATTGGCAGAGCACATAAAGTTTGTGCCTTAGCTAATAATTGAGATACTAATGCCTGTGGAAAATTGTCTGTTAACCTAAATAGATTTTTATTAAAAACATTTTGTTCTGAAATATTTTAAGCTCCATCTCAACAAGTTATTAGAGGTTTGTTATTGTACACTAGGTTAGTGAAGGTCTAGATTTTGCTGATACCAACGGTCGAGCTGTATTAATTACCGGTATTCCTTACCCACCAATGAAAGATCCTAAAGTTATCCTCAAACGACAATACTTGGATGAGATGGTGCGGAAAGGTAACAAAAATGTAAGTAGGCATACACGTCTTCATAATATCATTGTATTAATCAGTCAATCAACACAGAATCACTTCCTTATGCACTTCTTAATGCTATGTGGATTCTCTTATTGTTTATTCTCTGTGTAACTATAGTAACATATTGTTAACCAGTTTTGTCAACAGGAAGTGAGTAAATATAGTCTTGATTATCCTGGTAATATGTACTTGTAAACATATTGGCAGAATTAATGTGGTGGGAGCAGAATCATGATGTAATCAAACGTTTAAAGTTACAATTTCATATTTTTAAGTTATATTTTTAAAATGTATTAAAATAAAGCCCTAAAATAGATGGTATCTATAAACAGTCCTACCATGTTAAAGAATAATCCTATTAATCCTATAATTCACTATTGCCAGTTGAGAAATTGGCAAAAATATCATTTTCAACTTCAAATTCCAACGTTTGAAGATAGCTATTCCATGGTGGAGAATAGGAAAACAAGGGAGGTAATTGCGTTATTATTTCCGACGTGAAGATTTTTAAGTGTGAGAAAGATAACCTATGATCGTATAATAGTGAGTTGACAACCTATTGAGCAAAAGACATAGAAATAATTATGTTTTGACTTTCTTAGAAAATATGAACTTGTAACTTTTAAGCTATGGTGGTTGGTCAGGATGATTTCTCATTTAGTTGTTGCATGCTTTCTCGTGTTTACTTAATTGATGCTTTTCGAGGGAATAAGAGAAGTCTCTTATTTCATGTATTTACAAATCTATGTTTTCTTAACTCAAGCATCATCAAATTCTATTTTTGTGGACTGATATGGCATAAATTTAACTAGATTTACACTACTACTACTAGAGATCTACTTTCACTTTTGTGGTACAACAAACAACATTTTACAATGGAGCTATTTTAAATGTTATTACTTTTGTATTCAAGGTGCTGATTGGTCAAAAATGGTATACTCAGCAAGCAACAAGAGCTGTCAATCAAGCTATAGGGCGTGTCATACGACATAAACAAGATTATGGTGCTATCATTTTATGTGATGAAAGGTAAATTAAAGTAGCAAATCAAATTTAATCAATCTTACAAATAATCCAGTCCAAGCTTTTAAAAAATTGCCAGAGAGTCATAATATTTGGGGTGGTTCGCTGATTAGTTTGTTGAATAACTAATCAGGATCATACTGCATACCTCGAGAATACATCACTGCGCTAAATGCCGTCCATTTAAAATGCTCACGTGATCATTTTGGGGTGGGACTTTACGGCCTATGACGTATATATACGTGGTTTATGTAAACAAACATGTCAAGTTAGCGAAATGTCGACTTCTGCTATTCCGGTAAAAGCGATATATATGTGCCAGTGGGTGATATTGCAATACAGTCTTTATCATTGTAAACTGCCTTTAGAGTTTGAGACTGTTTATCTTTCAAAACAAGGTTAGATACTCCTAAATTTGTCTTTGCAAATTTGTCTTTGAACGTATCTTTCATGGGCGCCGCCAGATTGAATAATTAGTGGACTATTTCGTGCTTCCGCTCTAATCCATTTGACATCTTTCATACACACAACAGCTAAATAAACATATTAAATTTCATTGAATATGAAAATAGAAGAGAAATAAATACTTCTAAAAATTTCTAAAGGCATACTTAGTGTTTTCGACTAAAATTGTTGATGTAGGAATTAAAATGTTGGTTAATTAGGTTAGACCTATTCTCAAGCGGAGTAAACTGTAGAGAGGCATCCTAAGTTTGGGATGTAACCAGGATATCATGCAAAGGTTCTTAGGATTTTCCAGATTGGTATCCCCTTGTCAGTGCTGCAATCGTGCTGGTACAGAAAAGCTTCTACCGCCACCGGTTGTCATTTTAATGAGATGATAAACCTTGATATTCTCTATACCATTGGTGCAGCATGTTAAACATCATACCCTGACACTTAGAAATCGAAATAAGAGTAGGCGGTAACACTACTGTCAGGGCAAAATTCCCCCATTAGCCTTGTTGGTGCAGAAAAGTAGGATGTTAAACCACATTTCATCTCATTTCAGCAAATTGTAGAGCAGTGATACAAAATTAAGTGCAGTACTTTTCTAAATTGTCAACTCTGAAATCAATAATAACACTTGTTTATGATTCCGAAATGTTTGTTATAGGTTTTCAAGACAAGATTCTATCAAACAGCTACCTGTATGGGTTCGACCATATGTTAATAATTTTGATAATTATGGTAAAGCTCAGGGTTATCTTCTCAAGTTTTTTAAAACTGCTGAAAGTAAGGTAAGTTGATTCATTTCTTTAAAACTGCTGAAAGTAAGGTAAGTTGATTCACTTCTTTAAAACTGCTGAAAGTAAAGTAAGTTGATCCATTTCTTTAATTGGTCAAAGATACTCATTTGGTAAGAGACTTGGGAATACTCAACACTGCCTCAGTTATTGCTTCTGACTGAAATGTGACAAGTCTGAATTCTGTAATACTGTATGTAACCTTTTAACTGTGGATAGTAGCTGTCTAAAGTATGGGCATCTAGATTACTATCTGTACTAAGAATCCACTTCTGTCGTCTGTTATCAATGAATAATGCATAAAGTACAGATATATGGCTGTTTGTATTTCCACAGTTGCCAGTACCTCAAGCCAAGAAGAAAACAACTTCCACTGTGAGTCATGTCGGTTGTGAAGGAGCCTATTTTCAACCTACAGCCATTCGTTCAGCTACACCTATATCTTCTAGAGGAAGAGTAGAATCAGCTAGAAATGTTGCCTGTCATGGACAAACTTTACAACACACCACAGGTACATATTATAATTATCTTCTTTTCTAATTTGGGTCATTTTTGCAAGTGAGCTATGGTGGCTCAGTGAGTAAGACATTGGCTCGCTAACCTGGAGGGGGGGTGGATGGCTGAATGGTTAGCATGCGCGTGCTGTATCATAAAGTCTGTCATTGAGTCGAGTGGCGTGGTTTCGAATCCCCGGTTGTATGTGACAAGGAGTAGGGTCGCCTGTCCAACCTCGTGGGTTTTCTCCGGGTCCTCCGGTTTCCTCCCACTGCTAAAGACCTACGTGCAAGCGAATTATTGAAATAAAATTAAACCATATGTTAGTCCCGAAATGACCTAGTTTGTGTCGAGTTGACGTTAAACCCCATTTCTCTCTCTCTCTCTCTCGCTAACCTGGAGGTCACATTTTCGATTTTCTGCACTGGCCGAGAATGTTCATTGGGATTTTCCAACGTGGTTCCCCCTTGTCGGTGGTGTAGGAGAGGAGACCTTGCAAAGGACAATGTATAGTCGTTCGGATAGGATGGAAAAGAATAGGCCGTAGCTAGCGCCGCTGTCATAGCACACTGTATGGCATATTCCCTTCTTCATTAGCCCAGTCAGTGATGGCTGATAAAATTACCAGTATTTAGGATTTTCATGCTTGGTTTCCCTTGGTCAGTGGTGCAGAAAGTATGCATCTAGTTGTTCATATGGTACGAAAAAATGAGGTCCATCTTTGTTCTCATTGGCATGCATGTAAAAGAATCCTTGACAGTTGGAATTGGATAAAGAAATGCCACTGTCCTGTACCTAATAAACTGTTTACCATATCTAGATTCAAAGGCAAAATGATATTGAAAATCTGAAGTTAAAAACTGGCCATTTAGACTGTCATTAATATGTTAATATTCCATTGTTAATATCATTTTAATGTGTAATTGTAGATGATAATAATAAACTAAGTAGCCAATACCAACAGTTAGGTTCTTCTAAATCATCGACATCTAGAACCGGATTAATACAAGCTCTCGAATTCGATGAGGTACGAACTTCATATATTTATTTTGGGGGAGTGGAAGTGATCAATGTATACACATGTAATTTTGTCTTATGTACCGTTCAAGAAACAATTATCTGTCAAATTGATAAAAAAAATGTCGGCATCATTCCTATTTGGTTTTAGCAAAATTTAAAAACTTTGAATTACTCTTTGCAGAAGACAAATGAAGATGGGGATGACAGCTTCAATCTAGGTCAGGTAAGTTGAATATATCAATTTTAGAAATATCATATGTTTGCTCCCGATTGCCTGTTTAATAAACATAGTCTATAAAATAAAGTCTCACCACAGTTTATTTCAAAATTCCCAATTAAAACAACATTGTCCGTGTCTAAAATTACATAATTATACTGAGTCTGAGTAACACAGGAGTTAAAAATAGGTAGTGATTTTTTTCAAGGGATATGTCCACTTCTTCCAATAATAATTTTGTGAATTTTTTTTTTTTTTTTACCAATTTTTTTTTTTTTTCTCAGACATCCAGATTTGGACCCCAGAAAGCAACATTTAAAAAGAAGATAATAGTTAAGGTATTACTGTTGTACAGCCTTATATACTTTTATATTTTGATTTTTGGACCAGGAACTGGTTGCTAACTGCTACTCATTATCTTCTTGTTCTTGGGGTGATGCTCTTCGAAAAAGCCTAAGGCTCCGTCAATTCAAGTCCGATTGACATGAAAATTCTCATGCTTCTTCTTTGAACCTTTCTTCATCGATTTGGTGAATTAGATTTTTGAATTTCCTTCAACAACATGGTCAATTCCTGGTCCATACTTGTTAGTATTGACAGCTGTTACTATTGTTTTTTTTCAAAAATCGGTGGTTTCTGAGGGTTTTCAGGTCTGCAAGGACTGGTAGTTGTTGTTTATTAACAATATTACTACTGTGTCTCCCTTGTTATGGAATAAAGTCCATCTTTTTATTACACAAAATGATACTGTATCTCATTTAAATCACATTTCAAAACCGTTTATTTTATCATCTTTTATCTATATATTATTTATTATTGTGCAAAACCCCTCCACCTCTCAGTATAATTGAATAATTTACATATTAACAGTATTATTGAACAATATAGCAGTATTATTGAACAATTTAGCAGTATTATTGAATAATTTATCTATTTTTATAGAAACCTGGTGAAATAATTGAAAGTAAAACTACCAACGGTGCTAAGAACAGTCAAATAAAACAGAAACACTATAATCATGCTGAAAATTATCTTGAAGAGGTGGGTAGAATTTATTATTACTAATATCAATTAATATCATCGTACGATCCAGTAGAGCACACTTGCCTCCAAGTGATTTGAATATCAACCAGAAGTCACTCTGTGCCCTATGTTATAGTAAATCCCTATTGTAATGCTGAATGTTATAATTTCAGATAAAACAAGCATTAGCTAAAGATGGTTATAGAACATTTTCTAAAGCATTACGTGATTATAAAGAACAGGGTGATTATATAAAAGTTACAGCTGTATTAGCTGATCTGTTTACATCTACACCTACTTATTATCATCTATTTAGAAGTAAGATTTACACATCTTTTATTTTATATTTGTTCCCCACCATTTAGAGAAAGAATAGGACTATTGAAATGAGTTCATTTTTCTGCCTGTCCATCACACATTTTGGGACACAATAACACTGCTTCTAATTGAGCTAGATTGTTCATATTTGGTGTTGGTGTTTATTAGTTGAAACTTATGACCGAGTATTTATCTTTCAGTTTCAATTCTATATATTATTATTATTATTATTGTTTGATTTATATAGCGCTTCATTACACGTGAAGTGTTTCTAAGCACATATCACAAACATATACTTCAAACACACAGAAACAGTCAAAATCAGGAGAACATAATTAAACACAGCTGCCTGTTAGGCGCTATTATTCAAAGGTTTATATCCAACAAATCAACCGGCTAATCTCTATATTGAACTCAGTCGAGGTATTACCTGATGAACACCTACACCAAGTAGAGTTCAAAAAAAAAAAAAAAATATACTCTCATATGTTACAATACATCTATTTGTTTATGCTACATTCGTTTCATTGTTTGTTTCATCTGTCTTTTGGTCTGCAGTTATCCTGAATTATCTATAATTATGTGTTTTTCAGAGTTTTACAGTTTTTTAAGAGCTAAACATAAACAGGAGTTTGATCAGTTATGTAAAGATATAACTGGTGAAGGTGCTGGATATAAACCAGAAGATAGTATATCTAATAAACGACTTCGACAAGATCATACAGATGGTATGTTACTCAAGTGTAATACCATTTCCTGATAGTTCAACCCATAGGACGTCTTTGTGTGTTGGGTTTGGTGGGGTGGGGTGGGGGAGGGCATGCACTGGGATTGATTTGCTGTGACCTGACATTGTTTTATGGCCTTTGTAACTGTTATTGTTTTAATCCTGAATTGATGCTAGGTGTGACAAACTCCCGATTTCCAATCCCAGACAAATATGACAGTTATCTCTGAGGAATAAGAGACCTGGGATGATTCCTGTACTCCTAAAAAATATTAATGGGGACAAATTTAAGAAGGCTGTTTTTCCAAAATAGCTGTCAATTAATTTGTTAATTCTCTTGTCTTTTGCCTATTTTCCCCCTATTTGGCCCAAATTTTGGAGGACACTTGGTCCCGCCTCCCTGGCTTGTACATCCATTATTCAGCCATAGTTGTTTGGTTAGTATACTGTCCAGAATGTCCTGGTGTTGTGGCTTAAAAGAAAAATGGTATAATACAGTGATCAATAGAATGATTAAAAAAGATAAAGATATACACTAAATAAATAACACCAAATCAAAGGCTTATACTATAATTTAAACAGTTGCAATGTTTCAGCATGATGATGTTCAAGCACATACAGCTTGTGTCCCCATGGACTTTTTATACCAAAACAAGGTGGCGGGGATCAATTGGTCAACCCTTCCTGATCTCTCACCAATAGAAAATCTGCGGGACAGTATTGGATGTCGTCTTTCCCAGGGTTCCTAACTGCAAAATCACTGTCAAATAGAAGCAGCATTACAACAATAGTACTAGTAGAGAAGGATCCCACATGCGGCGATGCAGAGGCTTATTTTCTCCATTGGGCAACATCATTAACTTTAGATTTTGGCCCTTTTGCCTTTGTAGAGCCATATGAGTGGTGCATTTTCAATGCATCTCAGTATATTTGCATGATGGGACATGGTTAAGTTATCATCTCTTTTTCTCATATTTATCCAAATGTATTTAATGATGAACAATCTGTTTTTTCAGGTCCTGCAGACAAAAAAGCAAAAACAGACAATTTTAACAGTGCTAAACTTCCTTCAATAACAGCAAATGTGATAACTGTGTCTTCTAACCCTTCTACATCCAGTGCTCATTTAAATACTTTATCAAACTGTGCATTCTCAGAAACTAGTACAAGTAGTAAGGATATTATTGACCCGCCATCAGTGACTAGTAGTAAATCAAACAGTCAATCTAGTTCTATATCTACGTGTAGTTTAGATAATAATGAGAAGTTAACTGATGATGTGGTGGAGAATGTGAATAAAATTCTAACAAGTAGTAATAAACCTTGTACAGGTCAGTTTCTATTAAAACTTCCATTTTGTAGGCCGTCTCACAACACAAATATTCCGGGGGACCCTTTGACCAGCCCCATTTTAGATGAACTATGAAGTCTAGAATATCTCCCACTACTTTCAATTTCATTATAACAGCTATAGAAATATAGGCTCAGTAAGCTGGTGACCAGTAACAGAATGCTTAACTTAACTTAAAGGGGCTAAATTGCTAATATTTGGGACCTAGAAATTGACACAAATGGGTCGCAACGCATATAATAATGTAATATGAATGTATATAAACTGATTTACATTCAATCGTTTCTGTTTTTACTGTAATTTCTAATCAGTTATGTTCGGCGAAATACACCAGAAGTCTCAATCGAACGCCAATCTCTAGCGTCTGGTTATTCCAGTGTACACCGATAGTATTTATTGCGAAGGCTCTTCAGATACAAATATGGCGTCACCGTTTGACATGACTAGTGGAATATGCCTAGCCTCTTTTTTCAAGTCCCTTATAACAAATGGCATTGAAACGCATTATGGTACATGATTCATGTACCAATTGTAAAATGTTTATTTTGTCTTAAATATTGGATATCAGAAGGCCATCTTTTCCCGGTAAGATCACAGCATCAATGTCGAAGATTTGGATGATATTGAGTTAGAGACTTAGCTACTTTAAAGGGGTAACTTGTTAGATAAAATGTGGATATAGATTCTTAACTCTTAAGACCGTATATGTGCTCATTAACAAATGTGTTGATCCAAAAGTTACGGACACAAGCTATCAGCAGGTGTTAAATTCTATTGGGCTACAATAGGTTGCATTCAGTTCATTACCTGTCAAGATATTTCCATCTGAAAAGCTAGTTGAAAATAAGGAGAGTCACATAAAATGGAAAACATCATGTGACAATTGTTTCTCCCTGCAAGGCGTAAGCACTCCCTAATGACTCAAATCCGGAGCTAGGAAATTCCCACAGTGGCAAAAAACTGGAATCGTGTTATTTTATAGGTAGCACTCTTGTTTATTGTGGATTTTTATAGAGATGTTTTCAATCTGTATTGTAGGTTATACTTGTTCTCTATGTGGTAATGATTCTAAAGTACCATTTGAAGCACTGTGTCAACATACTTGTTGTCTAACATGTTGGAGACAAGTTTTAGATGTAAGTCTTGTTAAGTATATCGGACAGTTCCCAAGGTATACTCTCCAATTGATATTTCATTACCTTAGATGCAGGACACACAGTATACTGCATTGTTCTTAAATCATTAACTGTTGCTTTCCACAGAATCTTACACAGATCATATATTACCCTCCCCATAAAATATATTTGATCTTCAAAAGATTAGCTGAGCCATAAAGCATTATAAATCGAACAATAATAATAATAATAATAATTAAAAGATGCATCAATCGATTTTATGGATTCTGGAGGGAAATTTCTAAATTTTCAAGAAAAAATATATTTGTAGGAACGGATGTCTTTAGTTCGATATTAGAATTCTAGTTATGTAATAAATCATTGGGGATTCAATTGTATGTGTTGAATAAGTCGAGATCATCTGTTGTAACAAGTATTCCCATATAGTTAGGGAAATAATCTTATTTTACATGCTATCATGATTTTATTTTCAGGGGAATAAACTCTGTCCGGGTTGTGGTGTTAGAATCAGACGAAGACATCTCGTACAAAAACTGTTTGCATCTGGACCAAATTTATTACAGTAATTCTTGTACAAAGCAGGACTTCATGTTTCTATACATGTGGTGATATTATTAAAATGTCAAAATGTAGAGTTGAGTGTTAGTCATCATTTCCTTTGGATCGTATAAATGGTGATGGCTTGAAGTCAGATTACAAATATTTTGCCGTGATAGTGGCACTGCGGCCTACTCTTATTTTGATTTCTTACTATCAGGGGATCTTTAAAGTTCTGCAAATGGTATACAAGAATTCTTTTTTTTTTTCATACCATCTTAACAACAAGATGTGTTTGCATGCCAGTCTATCCATCTGCCACCACTGAAGCCAAGCTGGAAAAAATTCCAAGGAACAAATATATCGGACTTCAAATTCCCAGATTAAAGTACATTGTGTAGGACTGTATATTGCGGTTTGTCACTGAATCTAATGGCCTGGTTGCGATACCAGACTTGTATGTGCATACAGGTGACTTATTGTAATAAAGACAGACTATCTTAGTCCCAAAATGACCTAGATTGTGTTGTGGACATTAAACCCAATTTCTTTATCTGAAATCCCCCCTCCCCTACTCCCAAAATGTTAAATCTGGCGACCAATGTGATGAACATATTTCACAGTGAATATTTGTCAGACTTTAGCATTTTTAACACATTAACCATAATTTAATTAAATTCCTGTGATCAAATACATCAGGAGGGTCTGAAGTCCACTTACAAATGCACCAGACATCAAAGTCCATAATTTAAGATATTTCAACTGGAATTTTACTACAGAGCATAACATCTGCCAAGAAGAGACATGCCATCATAAAGAAATTGTCATTTCCTGCTGATTTCCCTACTTAAATAGTTGTTTATTCAAATAAAATGTGTGAATGTTATCTAAACATTAAAACTTGAAATAACATTAGCTAAATGGATATAACCCTGACAAGCTTACAATTTTATTGATGTTAAAGACACTGACTCGGGCAACATTATTAATCTCACATATATTGATATTTAATAAAATATTTGTTGTTTCTGGTGGACTATTAAAAGGGCTTGGATAACCAAATGATCTCACACGTATGCTTTAGATCATAAGTTCTGTAATTCAGTCAAGTGGCATATTTTTGAATCCGTCGTTGCCTGCCTAACCTCATGGGTTTTCTCCAATTGCCGCCCATTCCTACAGAACCCTATGTGCAAGCGGATTATTAAAATAAAATTGCACTATGTTAAACCCAAGATGACATAGTTTGTGTTGAGTGAAAGTTAAATCCCATTTCTCTTTAGCACGAGATTAAAGAAACAGGTTATGTTGATATTTTGTTTCTCACATTTTATTTTAATGAAACATCATCTGTTTTAGTGGTCCAGTTTGAAACTTATTCTGTTGACATTATGGTTTGCACATTTATTGATTTCTTAAAAATATTTTGTTTAAATAAAACAGTCTGATTCTGGTGATCCAATTAAGAGGATAATATTATTGATATTAAAGAAACTGATTCTGTTAACATAATGATTAACACATTTTATATAATATATAAATATATTTTTCAAGAATTTTATTTTAAAACAAAATACATATGTTCTGATAGTTTTATTGCACTGATATGTTTATTGATACTAAAGACACTGTTTCTAGTAATGTTACAAACTACACATTCGTCTAAAGAAAGTTATTAATTACCAAAATACATGTCAGAATACATGTAGAAAACTAATATTGTTTTGTTAATAGACAATTTTTAATGACATACTCTTTAACCAAAACTTTCAGTTTTAGTGACAAACTATGTAATTAGCTGTGATTCTCAATAGATGACTTATACCTATGTTATAAATTGTTAGCGAAAGATGACAAGTTCAATAGGGTTGTGGAACACACAAACTAGGTGACAGTTAGCTGAATAGCGTAACTTTGAATCAAATTTGAAATGTGACCGTATATTGTCATGGCCTCCGGCGCCCACAATTGCTTGTGGATGCTCCAGAGGCTAAAGATAATATCTGATTGAATTTTAATTAATACAGTGCGCAAGGTCATGAGACCATAGAACTGTACTAGAATACGATCTATGATGAGACGAAGAATCCTATTGATTGTCAATGATTTCCGATAAGTACTGTGAGTTATGGCCCTTCATAATGTTGAAAAATCATGTGGCAACTCTAGTAAACCAAAGTTATCATCCAATTGACTTTAAATTTATACACTGTGTTTAAGGTCACGAGGCACAGAAGTCGCCTATTGATCAAGCCCGACGGAGTGGGATGAGGAGGGCTCCAATAATTTGGCCACAAGTAGGCTACTCCTTTCTCTAGGTTATGGCACGCAAATAACTATTCAGTTAGATACAATAACGTATCTGGAAGAGTAGCATCACTTTAACATAGAAGTGAGACTTCTAGAACGTAGACTTTCTGAGAAAAAACCCTGCTATACTATATACTGATCCCCCAGTCACCCTAGTTGCAAGGGTCGCGATTAGTTAACTGAACAGTCGATCTTTATTCAAGCCAATCTCACTTCCGTTGTATCGGGCATTTGACGGGAAGTTTCTGTCAGGCTTTCAGAGAGAGAGGCAAAAATGGGGTGTAACGTCCACTCGACACAAACTAGGTCATTTCGGGACTAACACATGGTTCCATTTTATATCAATAATTCGCTTGCGCGTAGGGGTCTTTAGCTCTGGAAGGCAGGCGACCCTACTCCTTGTCACGTACAGCCGGGGAATCGAAACCCCGCTAGTTGACTCAATGACAGACCGTATGATATAGTGCGTGCTAACCATTCGACCCACCCCCCCCCCCCCCCACACACACACACCCACCCAACCTTGTGTAACAGGGAGCGGCCATTTTGTCAGGCAGTTTCGGTCCGATTTTCACGAAATTTAAACTCAATCGTAATTATGATGCAACGGTGATATTTGAAAGGTTTTTACAATCAAATAAAAATTGTGACCTCTAGATAGTCCAGAATCTAAAATGTGATTTTTCGTACAATTCAGAAATATCGACAGGAACCCAGATCTTTATAGATTGTAAGTTTTATCAAATTCGGATAAAAATTGTGACCTCTAGTGGTCCACAACCTTGGTATTATTATGCATATATTTTGTTCACCCCCTACCCAATCATGAATTGTTTCCGCCGGCACTGTTGATTTTCAACAATTTCCGATTATTATTGCCAGAGTTATGGCCCTTGACCACTTTGAAAAATCTTGGATTCTCTCGAGACAGAACTAGAAGTAAAACAAATCCTAATAATTACTTAATGGGTTGGTTACTCTTAATCAGTTTTTAGTGTATGGTAAATGCTCTCATTACCGACAAAATAAATAATGCGACAACCCTTGTGGACTGCACGGACGACTTACCAACCTATCCTTGTCAGTGCTGTTTCCAATTATTACAATATTCACACGCGTCATCATTTGTCCCGGGCGTTTATGGCATATTCCATATTCCCAATGGACTTTAAAGCATGTCAGTTTCTGTACATCAAGGTCATTTTAGAAAATAATCAGAATAACCTACAAATGTGCAAAGCATATGAAATATAAAACTAGGTCAACATTAAAGTTTAAGAAAATAGAAAATACAGTCCTGTATTCCTTCATTCAGCCAAAACTCAAATATTCTAAAATACGATCTTAAAGATGGGAATGGTTTGCGATTACGTTTACGGAACAGATCAATAGACGCGGGGGGGGGGGGGGGTCAGGCTGGGCTCGTGCACTCACCCGCATCCCCAATAACTTGTAATGGATCCAATTTTAGTATCTCTAGCATAACAGCCCTCTCCCCCACTCTCTCCCCAATCTGCTGTAAGCTCTCTTCGGCCATGTTACCGAATATTACCATGGTGTAGGGAAATAGAAGTTTTTTCAGGTGTTCGATTGCATCAAATTCTTCATTTTGAAAAAAATAAATAAATAAAAAAGATAACTCGTATTTTGTTTAATCTATCGGAAAATCGCTAATTCGATCCCAATAATTTGCTTCGCAATAAAGCATCGGTCCTCCTTTTGAAATTTCTGTATCCGCGATGCCTGGATTTTGTAATCAACGTCAGACTTTGTGTATATTTATTTAGTAATTTAAAAATTATTATTTCAAACTCATACACATGTATACCACCAGTCGATCATTCGTTTCATACAGCTAACCTCCCCAAGATTACAGACTCATATTTCAGAAAGATTTCTTTGGGCTTTCTTTATCTATACTGTCAATTGTTTTTGGAGACAATAATAAATGGGTAACTTAAAACTATAAATGGTTTGATACATCGGCCAACTATCATAATGCGTTCATAAATAACACACTTCATTCAGAACAACTTATTTACCTTCTAAACTTAAAAATATTTTCTCAACTAAGTAATTGTTATCCACAACCCTTGTAGTGCGAACTGTACCGAACCCAGTCAGATCCTTGGGGTGTGTTTTGTATTTTTATAACCTCCAAAAGACTTCATTACACTCGGCAGACATAACAATAAATATTGTAGACGGCTAAAGGGTTAGACCCTTATACAAATATAGAACTTTTATTGGCATCTTGAAATAATGATCTGTGTATAAGTATTTATGTTGAAATACCTATATATATATAAAGCAGTTAAAGGGAGGTGTTTATAATGGTTATAAATTAACCGTCATATTATAAACACACCATTCTGCCCACAGAGAACTACCTACTTCAAGAATAGATCTCTGCCCTGACTGGCCGCCATATTGAAAACATGGTGTATTATTTTTTTCTGCGGTTCTAAACCGTTTTACACAACGACTAAATAAACATTTTGAATCCCATTAAACTCTAGCGGAATAAATACCTCTCAATATTCTCGAAGTATATTAGTTTTTTTCCACTAAAATCCCCTTATTAGGAATTCAAATGTCGGTCAACTAGCTTTGTGTCTGTTCTCGAGCTGAGCTAATTGTAGACAGCCAATATAAGTTTCGTATAAATACACCTAACACAGGACTTACAAAACAGTTAATCTCTTCAAGTACTTTCAAGTAAGTACCACCCTTTTCTCCTTCAATGCTCTTGAAGTTCTCTTCCAATATTTATTAAATACAGGTA